TCCATCAGCTCCTCACCTTAATCATCAGCTTCTCACCTTCATCAGCTCCTCCTCTTCATCAGCAGATTGTCCCCTTCATCGTCAACTTCTGCCCTTCATCATCAACTCTTCCTCTTCATCATCTGCTTTTCGTTATCATCTGTTTCTATTCTTCATCATCCGCTCTTTTTCATCATCAACTCCTCCCCATCATCATCAGCTCTTTCTCTTGATCATCTGCTTCTCTTCATCATGTTTCTCCTCTTCATCATCAGCTCCTCCCCTCAATCATCAGCTCCTCCTCTTCATCATCAGCTCCGCCCCTTAATCATCAGCTCCTCTTTTTCATCATCAGCTCTTATTCTTCATCCGCTCCTCCCCTTCATCAGCTCCTCCTCCTCCTCACCATACACTACTCCCCTTCTCCATCAGCTCCTTCCCTTCCTAATCAGCTCCTCCTCTTCACTATACGCTCCTCCCCTTCTCCATTAGCTCCTCCCCTTCCTAATCAGCTCCTCCTCTTCACTATGCGCTCCTCCCCTTCTCCATTAGCTCCTCCCCTTCATCATCAGCTCCTTCCATTCTCCATCAGCTCCTCCTCTTCACTATATGCCCCTCCCCTTTTCCATCCGCTCCTCCCCTTCATCATCAGCTCCTTCCCTTCTCCATCAGCTCCTCCTCTTTACTATACTCTCCTCCCCTTCTCCATCCGCTCCTCCCCTTCATCATCAGCTCCCTCCCTTCTCCATCAGCTCCTCCTCTTTACTATACTCTCCTCCCCTTCTCCATCAGCTCCTCCCCTTCATCATCAGCTCCCTCCCTTCTCCATCAGCTCCTCCTCTTTACTATACTCTCCTCCCCTTCTCCATCAGCTCCTCCCCTTCATCATCAGCTCCCTCCCTTCTCCATCAGCTCCTCCTCTTTACTATACTCTCCTCCCCTTCTCCATCAGCTCCTCCCCTTCATCATCAGCTCCCTCCCTTCTCCATCAGCTCCTCCTCTTTACTATACTCTCCTCCCCTTCTCCATCCGCTCCTCCCCTTCATCATCAGCTCCCTCCCTTCTCCATCAGCTCCTCCTCTTTACTATACTCTCCTCCCCTTCTCCATCAGCTCCTCCCCTTCATCATCAGCTCCCTCCCTTCTCCATCAGCTCCTCCTCTTTACTATACTCTCCTCCCCTTCTCCATCAGCTCCTCCCCTTCATCATCAGCTCCCTCCCTTGTCCATCAGCTCCTCCTCTTTACTATACTCTCCTCCCCTTCTCCATCAGCTCCTCCCCTTCATCATCAGCTCCCTCCCTTCTCCATTAGCTCCTCCTCTTTACTATACTCTCCTCCCCTTCTCCATCATCTCCTTCCCTACATCATGAGTGTTTATTAGTTAAATAAGTGCATCATCCGGGTATTTAAAGTCCGCTTATTCTTTTCAACATTTCTCAAAGTATTCATACTAAAAAATACTGCTTTATTGAATCCATTAAAATAAATGCAGGCCTCATGAGAAGAGACTGAAAATAATCATAATCATCCCAAAACATTCACCAGTAGTGTATGTTCAAATGCATTAGATCATGTCCAGCTCTGTGTCCTGAAGCCTGTGTTTGTCTTCCTGTGTGCTGCAGATGCTGGACGTCAGTGTTTCTCAGCTCTCGAACCTGCAGCCGGCGCTGGCGGCTCGAGTCGCACAGAAGCAGAGCGAGCTCAAAGACTGCTGGGCCGCTTTCCAGAAGACCCTCAGGTAACACATACACCCTACACTACACCTTAACTTTCTTTTTGGAAAGAAATAGTACATACTTATTAGTGTGTAATAGAAATAGGGTCAAGCTTTGCCTCATTTTATTGATATAGAAAAATAAAGCAAAAATCCAAACATATATTTTACTCAGTTTGTAGTAGATATGTAGAGTCGAAGAAAAATTAGTAACCCTCCTGTGAAATTTTTATATGCTTGTCTCCAGGGCTTAACATTAACTTTTTTTGATCACCAGTCACTGTGGCTAGTAGTTTTCCAACATTACTAGCCACTCGCCATTTTCACTAGCCACAATTTTATTGTTAGGAACATATATTTTATACACATAAATATGACTGACATGCTAAAATGACTTGATTTAGAGTTTGCGTTATCTCTACATGCCTCATTCATTTCACTTCTTGTGTGTGTCGTGTATGAGCTTGCTCAATAATCATGAGCAAATGGGTATTACAATAGTATTACAGTTTATATATATATATATATATATATATATATATATATATATATATATATATATATATATATATATATATATATATATATATATATATAA